TATCACAAGGAGTTCAGAAGTAACGGACATGGTAACTTATGTGGATTGGGGTGAGTTTCAAGCTTGGACGGGGGCACTTTAGATGAATGGTTTCTCTCTAAACGGTTCATTAAGACTTCGTCTGAACAACTTCCAGGAGGTTGATGCGCTTGAGAGGCCTGTCAGGGGTTATGCCCGGCTCACTTGAGTTCTACTCAGGTGCAACAAAGCTATCAACCGAATGAATTTCATCTTGGATCTAGCCGGAGGGCTTTCGGTACCATTCACAGAGACAAAAAATTTTGAGTGGCCTCCAGTGGGATGATGCTGGGATCATTCTGAAAAAGTTCCTCTAAATTGAAGGCTTCCAGGGGCTAGACCTGGGTCCAAGTTTGGATAAGGCTTGCCAAAGGCAAATCTGGTATCATTCCATCCACTTATTAGTTGTATTGAGTTAAGGTTTCTGGAGGCTAAATCCAGTTTTGTTGTATTGAGTTAATGCTTCTGGAGGCTAAATCCAGTTTTGTTGTATTAAGTTAAGGCTTCTGGAGGCTAAATCCTATTTTGTTGTTATTTGTTGAATATTGGTGGAAAAGTTTTAGCTTAATTTCGGACGATCGTTGGAATTGTTGTGTATTGTGATTGTTGCTTTCACATGAAACTTTCATAGGAATCCTGACCTTTTAAATGAATGATGAATGACGTGGAAGTCATTCAATGGGGTCTGGGAATGTTGTTGGAACAGAAACCCTTACAAGGGTATCTGCTCGGGTTTTTCAATGTCGGATGTTGTCCGACTTTTTTCGTTAAATTGAGGAACTTGATGAGACTGATGTCAGCCATAAGTTTATTTAGACGCCTACGACGGAGAAACTTAATATTTTTTTACCTTAGTGCGGACATATGCGGCGTCCGGAAATAATGGCGGTAGTCGCCAGTTTCTAGCAGGGCCGCAGAGAGGAACGACTGTGGAAATGCTAAGACTAGACCTATTCTACCTAAAATAATGACGAGAGGCCACACACTTCAAGGCTAGAAAGACCGAAAGATTAGCCGCAGGGGTGCAGCGACGGATAGAAGGGCTAACACGGCCAAAGTGCCGTGTCATTCTAAAAGGATGGACGGTCAGGGGTCCGAGGGTAAATCCCCGACCAAAGGAGTGGATTGTCGGGCCTACTAGACCAAGCCCAGCCAGGTGGATGGCGACCTGATTGCCTTTGGAAGGGATAGGCAGACTACAACTGCCTAGGCCAAGGAGTAGGCGGACTGCACCTGCCTAGACCAGCGAGTAGGCGGACTGCACCTGCCTAGACCAGCGAGTAGGCGGCCTACTGGGTTGCAACCCTTCAAATAGAAGGGTGGCAGGTACAGCTCCCGTGATAGGAGCTAGCCCAGTAGGTACCGCATTCAACTTTCACCCAACAGATGTTGGGATCGAGTCAGGCGATACGCTGCATGGGCTAGCTCCTTTTTGGAGCTGCTCACCAGCTAGGCGCTGCCATTTTCGGTCGCGAGATCTTCAGATCTCACCACCAAAAACGGCCTCGTGAATACAGCATGACCACTGCGCAAAGGATGACACGCATAAAATCGAGAAACGACCTATATTTTTCGATCCCCCGTTGGGATCGAACTTGGGTCCGCTCATCGCAAAGGGGAGGGGAGGCGCCAACAAGGCACGTCACGAGCAAACGTGGTCGTTGGCCTATGCCAACGACACTTTACAGAAAAAAAAAAAAAAAAAAAAAAACGAATGAATCTTTGGCCCAAACACGGTCATATGCGCCGTCAACCAGGGCAGTGGTTGCGCCCGTTGGAACGGGCATGACGGTGCTAGACTGTTTCATCGGAACTTCACCGACTCATCAGGAGGTTGCACCCCGGCAGTCTACATCAGTGCAATGACTTGCTGGTTCCTGGTTGCCTGTAGCCTCTCTCTGACGAGGTTGTACCATAGGTAGGGACAAATTCATAATTTTGTTTGACTGAGGGCTAACCGAGAGACCTACCTGTAAGGAAAATTCGTGAGGGACATATTTGTAAATATAGGAAATATGGGCCCAGTACTAACTCGAATTGCCTACAGCTACCCTAACTGCGAAGTAGACCCGGGCTACCCCTAGGACAGACAGGCCCTATGGGCCTACGCTAATAGACGGTCCTATAGCCTATAGCCGGGTAGGGAGAGGCCCTGGAGGCCGATACAGAAATGGTACTGGTCTCTCAGTCAGTCCGGTCTAGGCTAGAAGTAGAGTATAGATAGGATGGGGATATCGGTCCTTGGCTTTTAGTAGTTGACACTTCGTGGTGGAAGTTGCTGCGCACACGGTATCAGGTCGTGGTTGCTGATTCCGGTGGTGGAGACGACGGACATAGCCAGACCTTCGGAGTGCTGACCAGACTGGGGTCAACGCTGTCCACTCTGACTCTCTAGGAGTCAAAGCGGTCTGGGCTATGAGAGGTCTGATGCATTGGAGCACATGGTGCACTGCTAACCCTCCTCAGGAGTAGGGTCCCAGTGGCGATGCGGCCATAGCTGCGTCTTCTCAGAGGATATCATCGTTTGGACTTCATCTTCATCAGGGACGGTTGGCGCTGAGCTTCTTCTTCATCATCTGGGTGGCGATTGGCTTTGGGAGCCTGTTTCACTTTAGCGCAGGCCACAGGGTTGGATGTCAGGGTGGCGCTGGGTGTTACCTGGGGATTCGGTGCTATTTTTAGCTGTTCCGGGTGGTGGGGTTGAGGCGCTACCCCTCTGAGGGTAGCACAACAGGGTTCTGAGGTTCTTCAGTGAAAACGATGCTTTGAGTTTAATAAACAGTTGTAATACTGTGTTTGAGTTGTCATCTCTTCATTGATTTCTGGCTGTGATCACTCGGTTGTCTTCTATGAATGATTGTTGGGATTTTTGTGGAGAGAATTCACTGAATGGTGTATTCTGTCACTTTGCTTCTCCGAGTCTTCCGCCGTGTTTTCTTTTCTGGGCGGTGTGACCCTCCACTACCTCTCCCCTTCCTTCTGTGCATGTATGGGCGTGTACGGGAGTTCCTGTGAGTGAGTGTTGATAAAATTTCAACAGACAATCATGTTCATAACAATTGGTATCGGAGCAGATCGGACCCAGACAGTGGCGAGATGATGGACTGAGGCAGCCATCACTACCTGAGAGCCTATGACGTTGGATTTCATGGTGGAATCGCATCTTCAGTACTGCGCTCAGTAGGGTGTTGGTGAGGAGTGTGTGGCGGTTGGTATGACACAGAGATTGGTGGCGATTCAGTGCTCAGTGGCCTGGGAGGCACTGAGGGGCTATTTTTAGCCCAGGCGTTGACTCTGCTAGTGGCGAGATACCTGGGGTTATGTCGAGTTTCAAATTATGGGCGAGATACAGTGAATCTGATTAATGGAGGTTAATCACCATATCAAGAACTACAGTATCACCAAGTTTCAAGAAATTTGGAGCATGGGAACACCAGGAACAATGAATTGAAGAGACTGGCGAGATGGTAGCCATAGTCAGTTCAGCTTCTTCCAGTGTTTTGCCCTGAAGTAAGTGTGTTCCTTACTCAAGTCCCTATAGCGAGTCTGATAGTTGTGATTAGACTGGGAAAATTGAAATTGTATGTCTGTAGACAGTGGAACTTGAAAATCGCACTGCCTGACAGCCATAGCTATTTCGCCTACCTATCTACTTTGACTTCTACTCACTCTGTTTGACCTCCTCTCAGTCTCAAATTGCATCCCTGACTGTATTACAATATTGCAATTCAGTACACCCAGTGAATTGAGTAGTTCAGGGCCTGTATGTCAGTGATAACGAAATTCTGAATGTTGCGCTGCCATAGTCAGTGCTTGGGGCAGCTAGGGTTTGTCATATCTTAGGTTCTGTCCGTCAGAATTTCAGTCTATCAGTCACCCTGAAATCGCAATTCAGTATTGAGTCAGCGTCTGAAAGCGCTATGCTGGAATTGATGTTTTGAGTCAGATACAGTGATATCTGTATCTCGCCTCACCCATAGTGGGGCATACAGGGTCCTACAGTGCCAGTGTCAGTAGTAGGAGTCTAAAAACAGCTTGATCAGTCATCCGCTGCATCTTGGTTGATTACTGGGGTCTGTTAATTGCTACTGACTCTCTGCGCTATTCTAACCTTCCTACTTACAGTCCAAGGTTGCATCCTGTCTAATTATCTGACAGCGATTCTGGGGTTGTAGTACTCAGATGAGGGTTCTGGGCTGTGAATGAAAAATCGCAAGCTGATTTTATATGGACTTACCCTAAACTGACCCGGAACAGCTCTCAGCGGGCTACAGAGGCTGAGCGCTCTTCTGCCTAATTCATCACATCTCTTCTCATCAGGTGGCAGTGATTACATCAGTGTTTGAGTGTGTAATCTTAATCTCTGCTGACCTTGTATCTGTCTGTCTATATTTATTAGATTGTGTGTGGTTTATTATGGCTGACGCTGAGACAAAGGTTGAGGAAGGAGAACCTTCTGCTCACGCTCCTCCGCTTCCTTTCTCCCCCTTGGAACAGGCCCTGCTTGAAGCGGAGGAAAACCGCAGAAAGGCAGAGGCCCATGTCCAGCAGTTGAAGAAGGAGATGAAGGAAGCTGAGGAGGCTAGCAGGAAGGAGGAGAGGAGGCGACAGTTACGTAAGGAGGTTGAGAAAGTTGTTACCAATGGTACCACCAGTCAGTATAGTAAGGATACTGCTGAGTTGGTGCTGTTAACAGACACCCTCAACAAGTCTTACTTTCTAACTGGGATGAGCGGATTCTCGCTGTAGAGAATCAATGCTCTGTCACCGACCGCAAGGTCGATAAGCTGACAGCAAGCTTTGATTCCCTGACAGAGAGTGTTAACAAGATTCCGCAACATTTGCAACTTCCTATACCTTCTCCCCAACCTCTTCAACCTGTCCCAGCATCCGTTTCAGCATCCCACAGTCGTCCAGCTTCACCTGTTGGTTCCCATGTGTCCGCTACCTCTGTTCCCTCTGGCACATCTGATCAGCGGCAGCCCAAGCTGACACCACCTCCAATGTATTCTGGGGAAGACCCCAAGGTGGATGTATCAAACTGGGTTACTGCTATGCAGGCATACCTGGGCAACTTTGTTTGTCCAGAGGTGACAAAGGTAGGGACCATTCTGGGTCGTCTGGAGAGGACTGCACTCAAGTGGTGCACCTCCTCTTCAGCGAAACAGAATCTGCCCATGGACAAATGGGCACAGCAGCTGAAGGTGGAGGGGTTGCTGCAGGCTCTACAGGACCGGTTTGCCGACAGGGAGCAGGCCCGGAAAGCAGCAGATAAGATACTGCTGTTGGGCTCACGCAGATTTGAGGGTTCCCTGTCCAAGCTCTACAGCTTGTTTGAGAGCTTGACTGCTACACCCGGTCTGGAGATGAGTGAGTCTGACCACACCCATTTCCTACGTGCCGCGCCTCTTGACTACTCCATTGCTCTCTACTCTCAGGGCCACAAGGACTGGAGGTCCTTTGGCAAAGCGGCCCTGGACCTGGAGTCTCGGCTCAAGGTTCAGGAACCTTCTGAAGGAAGGAGGAGACCCTCTTCCAGGGGACAGTGCAGGAAGAAGGGTGCTCTATTGGCTGCTGATGCAGGATCTGATTCGGATGCATCTCAGCGTGGCAGTCCTCCATCTGAGACTGCATCAGTATCAGCAGTTGAGCCAGGCGTTCTTGCCCTAGCTGAGAACCTTGCTGCCATGTTCAAAGGGAAAATGGGGAACAGCAGCAGCAAGAGCTAAACTAGTTAGAAGGGGAAAGCAGCAGGTTAAAGGAGGGTGTCGCTCGTTGGTGGTACACCAAACGAGCTAACCGCCAACAAGCAAACGAGGAACCCCATTCCTTCCTCGAGTGGGCCAACCTCGTCACCTGCACATTCTGACCGCAAAAGACGGTCGATGACTACTTTGAGCAACTTTGTCGCCTTCAACAGAGCAGCCCGACCGACCGTTTTGTCCAATACGTCCATGCGTTGCAGCAACACGACCCGCTTGACTACGTCAGCGATGCCGCATTCATCTCCCGCTTCAAACGTGGATGCTGCAAGGACCTCGCCACCTCCCTCGTCCACGACCCCCCGATGTCCCTCTCCGATCTCTTCAACCGCGCCATTCACCTAGACAAATTCCTCACCCCGTACAAGGACGCACTCACATCCGCCCCACCCCGCCCACGATTCTTTCATAACATCACCGACGAAACCTCTCTCTCTGCCTCCTTGGACGAGTTCTCCGGCCCCGACCTCCACATCCTCTCCAATCCGCTAGACACCACATCGCTCTCCTCTGACGAACTCTCCGCCATCCACCTTATGCGGATGGAAAAGAGAAAACGCACCAGCCATCCTTCTATAAACACCCAGCCAACCTGTCTCATGAAACTCACGCTAGAGGAGCAAACCTACCTCCAAGCTAAGGGTGGATGTTTCCTGTGCCGACAGTTAGGCCATCAACAGACAAACTGTCCAAAGGCCGGACAATTCATAAGTCAGGCACCCAGGTCCGCGACTCCCCGACCCGCCACTTCCGCGACCCTACCATCCACCACTTCCGGTCCCTCCTCCACTTGAACACTGTCCCCATGATCACCACGAACCCGCCCCGACATTGACGACTAGTCTGTCGGCCATCCCATCGGTGACGACCTCTATTCCACCAATGGCCCAGTTGGCATCGACAACTTGTCTGGCCATCCCCTCTCCAGTGTGGCACTTCCCCCCGGACGATCCCCAGGCATCACCTGATGCCGCTCCCACTGGTACATGTTCCTCTACCCTTCTCCCAAATCCATCTTCCGTCACCTTCTCTCATGTTGTTGAGGAACAAGCCCGACACGATCGGCTTGTCAGATTAGGCATTAAACAACGCCGCCTCAACGTCATCATCTCCACCACCTACTCATCCCGCTTCCACCTCAAGTTTATTGCTGCCACCCTTGGTGCGTCTACAACCAAGTTTCGGGCCCTCCTTGACTTTGGAGCTACCGTTAACTTTATCACTGACACGTGTGTCGGAAAAGCCGGTCTCACCTCTAGCGGTTACAACTCTCCGATTACCATTCATCTAGGGGACAAAGACATCATCGTCGTAGTAGACCGCACGGTTCCTGAGGCCACCATGACTGTCGGAACCCTCTGCAGTCAGGTCTCATTCGATGTCATGCACTTGATGTGCCACATCCTTTTGGGAACACCTTGGCTGGGCCACCACATGCCATACGCGTTCCACCCCAACTTCTTCCGCCTCACCAACCCCCCCGACATGCCCATCGACATCCCCTATTTCCCCCACCCTACCTTCCGAAACTTCGTCACTCCCCATCAGTTTCTTCACATGGCCCGTCACAACCCTGACTCCACTTACTACTGCCTTGTCCTTGATTGCGAACGTCCCAAGGATTTGCTCCCTACGGACAAACCCGGTCAAGCTCCCCCCTCCAACCCCGCCCTCACCTCCATCCTCAACGAGTTCAAAGACGTTTTTCCCTAGTCATTGTCTGTTGGATTACCCTCGGATCGTGGTGTATATCATACCATTGATCTGGAACCCGGTCACTCTCCGCCATGCCCCCCTCCATACCAACTCTCCGTCCCGGAAGCTGAAGAAATGAAGCGCCAGCTTAATGAACTCCTTGAAAAAGGATTCATTAAGCCAAGCTCCTCCCCCTTCGGTACAAGCTGCCTTTCCGTAAAGAAAGGCAGAACCTCATAACTAAGGATGTGCACAAACTACCGCGCCTTGAATCGAATCACGATCAAGAACAAGTACCTCCTACCTCGGATCTCCGAGCTTCTTGATCGCCTCCGTGGAGCCAAATATTTTACCAAGATTGAACTCCGCAGTGGCTTCCACCAGATCCGCATCCGCGAGGAGGACACCCACAAGACCGCATTCCGTTCTCGCTTCGGGCACTGCGGGTTCCTCGTGATGCTCTTCGGACTCACCAACAGCCCCGCCACATTGCAATCCACCATGAATCACATCTTCCGCGACCTCCTCGAAGTCTGTGTCGTCGTCTACCTTCATGATATCCTTGTCTTTAGTCCCACCTTCAGCACCTTCGCCAAGTCCTCTCTATCCTCAGAGAGCAAAAATTATACGCCAAGCTCAGCAAATGCACCTTTGTTGCCTCTAGCATAGAATACCTTCGCCAATGCGACCCCTCGAACGTCACTGCCCTCGTTGAGTACCTCCCGCCCAAGACCCTACTCCAACTACGCTCATTCCTCGACCTTTCCAACTATTACCGCCCCTTCATCCGCAACTTCTCCGACATCTCTTACCCACCCCACGAACTCACACGCAAGGACGAGCCCTTCAATTGGAACGACCGCCACCAAAACGCCTTTGACTTCCTTAAACAAACCATGACCACGGCCCCTGTCCTCAAGATCGCCGACCCCTCTCGACATTTTTGCATTACCACTGATGCATCCGACTTCGCCATTGGAGTCGTCCTCTTGCAACATTGCCCTCGTTGAGTGGCCCCCGCCCAAGACCCTACTCCAACTACGCTCATTCATCGGCCTTGCCAACTATTACCGCACCTTCATCCGCAACTTTTCCGACATCTCTTACCCACTCCACGAACTCACACGCAAGGACGAGCCCTTCAATTGGAACGACCGCCACCAAAACGCCTTTGACTTCCTCAAAGAAACCATCACCACGGCCCCTATCCTCAAGATCGCCGACCCCTCTCAACATTTCTACGTTACCATTGATGCATCCGACTTCGCCATTGGAGCCGTCCTCTCGCAACATTTTCCTCGCGACACCTCTGAAACCCCCTCCATCAAGGACTCCCCCCACCCACCCCGAGGCTCCACCCGGCGAATACCCCATCGCCTTCCCAAGCAAGAAGCTCCTTCCCGCGGAGATGAACTACCCCTCCAACGAGAACGAACTCCTCGCCGTAATTCGCACCCTCAAAGTCTGGCCCCTATACCTCGACGGGCAATACTTCACCATTCGTACTGACAACAACGTAGTCTCATCCATTCTCACCAAGAAAGACATCATGCCCTGCCAAGCCCGCTGGTTAGACTTTCTTGCCCAGTTCACATTTAACATTTGTCACACTCCCGACAAAAGCAACCGCGCTGCCGATGCCCTCTCCCGACGCCCTGACCACAAGCCCCCTGAGAAAGTCCACGCCTCCATGATCCACATTAAGCTCCTCTCATCGCTCCATCACCGATATACACAAGGCTACCTCTCATGCCCCGACTTCTCCACCGTCGACAACAAACTTCGTGACCTTGACCCTGTCCCCGACTACTCCCTCCACGACAATCTTCTATACATCGACACCAAAGGCACTCACCGACTTTGCATCCCCGATGCACGTGGTCTCCGTACTCAGCTCTTGGCCGAGCACCACGACGCCAAGACTGCGGGACATCTCGGATTCCAGAAAACCTTTGACACCATCTCCCACTACTTCCACTGGCCTTCCCTACTCGTCGACGTCAAAGCTTACATTCGCTCATGCCCCACACGCCAAGACGTCAAAGCTTACATTCGCTCATGCCCCACACGCCAAGTTGTCAACCATTCGAACCGGGCCAAACCCGACAAGTTACAGTCATTGCCTATTCCCACTCACGGGTGGCAGTTCGTCTCTATGGACTTCGTGTGTGGTCTACCTAAGACCGACCGTGGCCATGAGTGCATATATGTCATCGTTTGTCGCTTGACTAAATGCACACACTTCATCCCTTGCACTACTTCGCATAATGCCAAAGACGTCGTCACTCTCTTCTTTGATTATGTCGCACGCCATCACGGCCTCCCCGAGAACATCGTCAATGACTGTGATCCCCGCTTCCTCTCACAATTCTGGAAACACCTCTTCACAGCATATGGAACCACGCTCAAGTATAGTACTGCATTCCACCCCCAGGCTGATTGGCAAACCGAGAAGATGAACGATACTCTCCAAAGAATCCTGCGGAAGTATTGTCATCCACACCAACATGACTGGGACCAGTTGCTCACAGTCGTCGAGATCGCCTACAACAACGTCTTCTATCCCTCCACTGGCATGTCCCCATTCTACCTCGACCTTGGCTACCATCCTCCCCCTCTAACTTTTTTCTTCCTTCTCAACTTAACTTCATCCCTTGCCCTTCTCTGAATGAATGGGTAGCAACAATGAACAAAATCCTCAGAGAAGCCACCGAAGCCCTTGAACGAACATAAGAACAACAAGCCAACAAGACTAACAAACACAGACGTGACGTGTCGTTCAAAAAAGGGGACAAAGTCTGGCTCTCCGCCAAACGCTTTGAACCCGAACATGGCTTGTCCAAGAAACTCTCGAACAAGAGGCTCAGACCCTTCCCCATCATTGAGCAAACGTCCCCCGTCAACTACAAACTCCAACTCCCCCCGGACATGGGTCGTGTCCACCCTGTCTTCCACGTAGAATACCTAAAAGAATACCATGAATCCCCACCCCAATTTGCTGACCGCCCATATCCTAGACCTCCACTGATCATGTTACCCACAGACCCTGAATTCATCGTTGAAGCCATCGTAGGACGAAAGAAGTACTCAGGTATCTGACCACCCGGAACCAACACATAATACAAAGTTAAATGGACAGGATACCCTGACGAAGAATCCACATGGGAACCTCTTGCTAACCTCAAGAATGCCATGAAACTTGTTTGCGCCTATGATCGTGCCCATCCTATATCCTAGCTACCCACTATGCCTAAACCCTGCCTAAACCTTGCCTCAACCTTGCCTCCCTGCACTACACACATCTCCTGTACCCAACAAAACCGGTGCCCCTTGACCTCCCTCTGTCTGATCCGCTCTT